GGCATGTGCAACCGCACAGCACAAGTGCTAAAGAACAGATCTATGCAATTAAATGTACGGTGTTGTGTAGTTGTGCTGTTGCACACACCGCAATTTCACGACGCCTAATCCAGCTCTTTGCTACCCTCCTACTTCCCCACACTCTCTACTCCCGGTCGCTGGTGAACGCTGGTGGACGCTGGTAGACGCTAGATCAATACCTATACAGCCCTCGAGACGCTGGCAGACGCTGGATCGAAATCTATACTTCCCAACGCTGCCGAAAAAGCTGCTGGTCGCCAGTGGGTGCTGGTAGACGCTGGTGGACGCTGCCGCAAAGCATGAACGCAGCCTGAGGAATTCTTCCCCACTTCTGCTAAAGAAGGCTGGTCGGATGAGAATAGGAAGCTTGAAGGCTGATCTGTTTACTTTAGGAGTCAGGTAACCTCGACTGTTGAGCGGTTGGACCTCGCAAGCGTCCTTTTGACACATGGCTCTGTCGCATCCGCAACATAATAGTGGTAGGCGTCAAACTGTGTCGGTGGGCCGTTTAGGAGATCCACGTTGCGACGGGGTAAAGCTGCTAACAACATCGCGTGCGCGACACTCACACCTATGTCATTGTAGCGCTGTTTGGCCATCACCAGGCACTGCCGTGTCCTCATTTCTTGGACCCATATGGGTGCGCGGATAATCTCACATCAATTTTATGGCCAGTTATAGTGGGGCTCTGCCACATACATAACAAGTTTATTAAGCTGCGGACAATAGGCAGGCATGAAAATATGTGGCCCATGAACTGGGTGTGAGTGGAGGGACAGGAGCTGCCGGCGATGAGGTCAGGAATGAGGGCACATTTGTTTCGGCTTCCTACCTGGCCATGGGGCAGCCTGGGAAGACCGGTGGTGATTTGTCCTCGCGCTTCATAGGGCACTGTTAAACTGCAGTCTCACGGTCCTGCAGTGCTACGGTCTACGGTCTAACTATAGTTCTCCTTCTGTTTCATCATTTAGTCACATACCCCGATCTCGGCTCCCATTTCAGCACCGCCGATACGTGACAGCTCTTCAGCATGGAAATTTGCTTCCAATCCCAATTTCTTACCGGCTTCTAGGATCTTCCGTCTGGAATTGATGCTTTCAAATTGAAGCTGGAACCATTTAAAATGTCCACAGTTACCACCAATAAATCTCACGTGTTTTCTACTTCGATGACGTTTTTCTCGCAGAAGACGTCGATGTTCTCGAGATTTTTCAGATCACCTTGATTTCTCGCCCTCTCTATGGCTGGCAGCATCTCGTCACATATCAGTTTCACATGGCTCTCTTCTGTTGAACCCTGAAACGAACTGCACTCGTCACTACTCTCAGAAACACAAGCGAACTGTTGAACATATCCGCTACGGGCGAGTTTTCTTGATTCTCTAGAGCGAAGTATTTATTCAGAGAGGCGCCAATATATTTGCGGCATTCTGAAACCCGTTTGGTCGGAGCCATCGGCACAGCCAATAGAACTGGCTTGGACAATTACATACAAGGACAGTCTCTAAAGCAAGGGACTTTTCTCGTTTATAAAGATTACAACTAGAGGAATGATGTTGAAAGTCATCAGAAGTTCATATAGCTCTGAGCGCTGATGGAGGCAAAACGCGATTTTCGTCCCGAGTCATTGGATCGTACCAAGTCTCTTCAGGGCACCATACCCGTACGGGAGCGTACAAAGAGTTACTCATATAGCCTTGCACCTATCAAATGGGCATTCAAGCATTTGTGCAAGTAGAAATGAACGTCTGGAACGGGGTTATTCCTAAGTAATGGAGGAACGCTCAGCACCAACTAGTGACTGGTCTCTGATTTTTTTCGTCGCGTGTTTGCGGTATTCATAATGGGTTGAGTTCGCCTGTTATTAAGGATGGCGCCCTTTTTCTTGATTGAAACTTCCAGATGCCGTTTTTTATTGCAAAAGTCCTGTTCTGACGTCCACATTCCGTAAATGAAAGCACTTCTCAACATTGAGAATGACTCTCCGATACCTGAGAAAATGATTCTGAGACTGCTTCTACCTACTACTAATGAAGCCTTCGTATTCCACTCCTTTCTCAGAATCTCTGGATTTCCACGGAACCTCTCATCACGTCGATTTTCGCTAAAGAATGCCCCGGGAAACTTTTCAGAGTTACGTTCGAAAAAACGACAAACCCTCACCTTTGGCACAGCATGCCCGCCACAGAATGTGGCCGAGATTTCCAAGGGAGTCTCGTCGTTGACACGATCTAGCACCCGCAACATCTGAAACTACGGTTTTAAATGTTCAAAACATCACATTTCCAATACGGATGCTGATTGTTCTTCTTTTGAACATCTGATGAAAGCTTTATTAAATTTGAATACTGATATATTTACCCCAGGTATGTGTAGTTAAAGGCAGAGTTCGCGATAACCAAAGTGATGAAAACCGTTTCCTGAGGCCGCACGGTATGCAATCGGAGAAGAGGTTTCATTATCGCCCCTCGAAAGTGCTCCTTAAGAACGCCACAGCTCTGCCGCAGAGAGCAGTCTCCACCCACGTAATCGTGCCCCTCCTCTGCCTTTTCCTTTTACCATCAGTTATAGTCATAGTTATATAACTAGTGGCAACTAACAACGCTAACTAGACGCAGGGCACGAAGCCAAGCCTGCAGTCGTGCCCTCCTCGCTGACGCACATTCTGAAACTAGGGAATCACCAGCAAATAAGCACTATCGTTTGGTTTTGCCTATACATTGTATGCCTATTTTATGAAAAGGAAAGGCCAAAATAATGCTCCATCGGTACGGGACCTTTCTTGTCTTGGATTCCCTCCTACACCTTTTTTTCTCTTCTATTTACTTTTTGCTCTACTTTTTTCAACTTCAATGTAATGCTAGACCTTTAACTCGCTCTCGGTATTCAACCCATAACCACTTTTTGCCTCCAATGTTGTGGTCCCATTTCGGAGCATCACATGAGCTATCTGAAAATAAAAGGTTACTTTTGCAAGATCCTACTATATATAAACGGTAACGTCTGTCTGTCTGTCCAACGTGGGTCTGTTGTCTGTTGTCTGTCTGTCCGGAAATTCGGCAATCACCTGAAGAGCCAGTTGGAGGGGGCGGGTCAAGGGTGGGTTGGGTAGGGCATGGGTCAAGATGTACGGAACACACATGAACTGAGCTAAGCCCCGCCCACTGTGGGCGGGGCGTGCGGCTTTAGGAGCTACATATTCCAAAAATTCATAGTATGGTTCCAGAAGAGCCCGGAGAGCGGAAAAAGTGGGAAACGATAGGCAATAAGTTGAATGCGTTTTATCTATCAATGTGTGGAAGGTGAGTAATGCTTTCCATTTCTTTTTCTTTTGAACATGACTCAGTCAAACGGAGGGAGATATATGTAGATGAAATAGACAGGAGCTATACAAAATCCATACCTCCTTGAAATCTTTCACCAAACTCTCCTCAGTGGCCTCACGAGTTTTTGCGGTGGTAAAGTGAATTCCTCCACCAGCGGCTTGGACCTGAAATTCTCTTTT